ATTGTTGGAAATAGTAGAGCTTGATTTTACTTTTCAGAAACGCTTGATGAAAGGAAAACGTAAAACCTTCGATCTTCCAATATCAATTTTAGTTGAAACCTTTAAGCTATGCCGCCTACACTAACACACCATCGAAGACCCGGTGCAAATAAGTTCAGGTAAATGATGGCAAGTCTCCGATTGCTCCGATTTTCGAGTGAAACGTATTGACGACGTCGTTTGGCAAAACAGCCTGTTACCGCTGTTAATCACACTTCGTATTCAATTTCAACATGAGAATAATTTATTTACTCTTCAACTCCACGTCGGTGAATAATTGTTACTTATAAAATATTTAAGATAGTACGCGCGCTCTCATGGTCAAGAGATGTGTTTCGATGACAATATGTAAACACGGTTGTGATGTTTATTTTAGAGAACAATTCGGGGTTGGAGATTTCTCGGGTTTGCATAACTGTCTCCAATTCTCCCAACCCCTGTCGTATTTAGATGAGACTTTGTAAACACGGAAAAGTCCCCTACGGCTTAAACATCTTCTTTTGAGCCCTTTTGTCACCAACCAGAGTTTAGGACTGTCTTGTACGAGGAATCAGACCAAACTAACTCAGGAATTCTTCACTGCGCCTTTCAATAACACGCGGACTCAAAAATTCAAAACGCCACTGTCAATGAAATGTTCGGCGGCTCCTTCCAGCTTCCGACTACTGCCGAGCGCGCGGTAATCAAATCGTTCAGCACAGTCCAGACAACGAAACAGTGTGACGCGCTCCACCATTAGCCACCCAACAACTTGAAATATTTTACAAGTTATGCGTAAGTCTGTTGTCACGCAAAGGCAGGGTTGCCACAGGTCAAGAGAGAAAATTGTTCAAGGTTACCATGATCTCAACGACGTTTTACTCAAAAACCTATCAGTCTTAGATGAATGGTTGGGAAGGAATGCTGTTGGGGGAGGCTGGAGGCCGCTATTATATCTCGATATATCTGACGCTCTTTAAGTTAATTGGTATTTTGTATTTTGATAATAAAATCGACTGGTTTGACGGCCTCTAGATCGCGCCTTCAGCGCTCGATGGGTTTCCACAAAACACTGATCCCCTCCCCCCCAACCCCCGACTGACACCCTATAAAGTTAACGGGAAAAAGAAAAGAAAGCCCAGAAATATCAATGGGAGCGATTCAAGTTCATCTTAAAATAAATTTAGCTTACCTGAAATGTCCAATCAGGGAAAAGTCAAGGAGTTCTGAATAATGACCTCTATGGCCACAATGAACAGCTCAACCGGACTGAATTATTGACTTGCTCTTTATATGTTGTAGTGCCGTAAGGTTTTGCAAATTTCCATTTTCAGTATTTATATGGCGGACCTAAAAAATATAGGAACGTTATAAAGGAAGATGTTTAA